CGAAAGCAGAAACGGCATTGTTGATGATGGACCAATAAGCCCCAGAATGAATAGTGATGTCGCCAACGTTCAAATCGACGAGTCCTCTATCGACTCTGTTTGTAGTTATATCCAAACCAAATACAGTAGCAATAAGAAAGCAAGATATGAAATGTAATGACCGAATTACTCTCATTGTGAGTGATGCTATGGATGCAAATTCAAAAAAAAAAAAAAATAAGAAAAAAGAGAGAGCCATTTGGGAAGATGAAGAGCAGATTCTTCGGGGGTTTTTATAGACATTCTGGCGAGTTTGAACCACTCCAAGTGTCTATGTCCCAATTACGAAAAGAACAGAAGCTTGGCTAAGCTTTTTTTTTTTTGCTAAATGGCACCAAATGCCATAAGTGTGGAAACATTTACTGGCCAAAAGAAAAAAAAAATAGAAAAATAAAAATACTCAGTTTAAAGGGAAAGTGTCACAAACGCGACAGAATCAAAGACATAAAATAAACTTTGTTCACAATGCATCTAGGGTGCACAGATTTGAATTTTCGTAAATAGGTTTAAGCTGATGTTTGTGTGGAGATTAGGGTTTTACTATTCACCAAAGTCAAAAGGAAAAGCACGTTTTTTTTTTTACATTGAAGAGAAAGCAACAAAGAACTAAAATGGAAGGAAAGACACTCTTTGAGAGGGCAGTTGAGGTCACAAAATGACCTTATCTCCGTCAAAGGCAATGAAGATTAGGTAGTTTTTCAACAAATTTGGAACTTTCCCAAATTATTTTAGCTAGCTGGTAATCTTTTTATTGTTCTGGAAGATGGGGGATCAAATATTTGAACAGATGGGGTAGTATTCTTCAGTTTTGGTTTGATTGATGGAAGTATGACCTTCAAAAAATGTGACGTGAAGCTTGGTACTCATAAAAAAAGCAGTAATATATTATAGAAATTTCTGTAAGATTTACACTGAGGCAAGTAGATTGCTTCGTAAAAGCTTTTCAATTATGCAGTGAAGCGTTACAAAGTTTACGAAACAAGACTCACTTTTCAAATACAAGCCATATTGTTGAGTACTCTAATTATGTAATGCAAAAGGACAGTTTTAAACAGCTTTGTGAGAGTCCCAAAGTTTTACTAAACCCTGATTAGCTAATACTCTGCAGATCTGGAAGGGACTTTTCCAAGATTGTAACTCTTGCAGATATTAAAGTAGAATTGACCAAAACGAGTAATTCTCTAGCCCGAAAGGGACATAATATTGTTAGTCCTTTTTACTAATTTTTAAATTTTGACTAGCATAATTTGTGTTCATCAAATTTGAATGCGGGGGGGAGGTGCGTAGTTAAGAGCCCCAATATGAGAAAGTAGATATTTAGTGTCTTGGACAAGAATAGAAGACTCTGTGAATTTTGTGTGTGTACTTTCTTATGCAAGATGTACATCAGTTCGAATAAAGAGTTAGACGATATCTTCAAGAGCGGTAGTGTGAATTGGTTTCGTTCCTATCGGGATTCAAGCTTACATTGCGTCAAAGCAACTCGCTTCAACAAGCACTCAAGCCAAAAACAATCAATTTCGAAAACCTTTTGAACTCAAGTCTCTGGCACGTCTACTCTGGATTAGCCTCGATTCAAAGTCGTTGAGTGGTGTTGCCTATTAAGAAGAATGAAGCTCCTCGAGCTCAAGGGAGTCATTGCGAACTGGGTGTGAATCAGTATGGCTCACACAAAACCCTCGTGGTCTAAAAAAAAAAAACAAAAAAATTAATTCAAACCTCGTACTCCACTATTTACCCTTGCAACATTTTAGTAGTTTTCAGGTATGTTTACAGCTCCTTGTGAGCTGTTTAGTAAATACTATAACCAACCTATGATGCTATACTGTATAATTTGAGGGAAAATGTAAGCGAGTAATACTTAGCCACATAGGGGAGCGGAGCAGGTTGTTCAAGGATTGTTTGTTCAAAATACCGTATTATAAATCCTTTATAGTGTACCAAAATTCACGTGAATGGTTGCAACACTAATACAATAAAAATCAATGTATATTATATAACCTTTTTTTTTTTTTTTTTTTATTCCTCGCGCGTTCTTTTAACCCAATCTGCGTATGCATATACATAAGTAAAATCTATTCTCTGGTTTGTATTCTTGCGTTATGTATCTCGCTGCCTTGAAAAAAAAATATAAAGTGATGTCACCTAGAAACACTAAATAGTGAATTATACCACGATTGTAATTGAAATGGTGAGCAATCCTCCATAATTACCATTCAGTAAACTAGCTATTGTACTTGCTACATAATTCAATTTTGTGGTTTTCAAGATGTCTCAAAAACCCTGTACACTAATACATACGCCTTAGTTTTTTTGGTGTTTGTAAGAGCAAAGGTCATGTAAAACATAAACAACAACCCAACAGTTTTCAAAAAAAATGTAACACTAATCTAATAGTCATAAGGATGTTGTAAGAGTTGTAGAGGGTCGGGTGGATAGTTACAAAGTTGTCTTTGTAATTGCATATGTACCATGCAAAGCATCTGTCGCCGATCACATCTGCTAAATACGCAGAAAAAAAAGCTTTCCATTTGTAATTATTGTTCAAATATGGAAAATAACAAAAACCTAAATAGAGTGTAGTTAGTCCATTTCTAGACGGACCCTTTACTGTTGAAAATTGTTGGGGAAAGATCTAGTTAGTGGTTATGAACATCCCCTCTTGGCTAAATGCTTTTTGTGCTTTTGTTACACAAACCGACTAGGAGTAATAAGGCGCATTATTATATACGAAATATATTTTCGTGATTGTAAGAGGAATAGGGTGTAAAGATTCTAAACGTTTTCAATCTTTGCATCACACATAACTCGTTTCGTATACCAGTCCACGCGTGGCAAGTGTAGACAAGGGCCCTTCCAACGGACACAATGTGGGGTAAGATGAGGGTTGGCGTTTGTTTAAGGAAAGTAACTCGCATCCAACTTCATGGGATGAGAGGTACCCATCTCCGAAACCATGGTGGTATCATGCCAGTTTCAAGCTCCCATGACTGGTAGATGTCCTCAGTATCCTCGAAGTTAGCTGATTCCAGTCGCGGATGAGTAATACATTGTTCAATGTCGAAATAATGATTCTTTTGTGCACGTAATAGTAACTTGGCTTGAAAAATTGCGTGATTGTAAAGTTGCAGTTATCAAACGTGTGTTTTTCTGAATTTTGCATCTCTGGTGTTCTTCCGAGCAGCACGAAACAACTCTTTCGAAGAAACGACACGGTTGGATGTTTACGAAAACATTGGCAAGGAACAAAGCTTTATTTCAAATTATTTAGTCGTGTGCATGTGCTAAACCCGGTACATTGTATAAAAATTTAGACAATGCCGCAAACACGGCAAAGACGGCAAACATTCTTTACGAAAGTGAGCAGAGTAGTCCAACCTTTTTGAATGTCTTGCATGAAATACAACCCACATGTTTGCTTTCACAAGCGGGAGTGTGATGCATCCCTTCATTTCGGTCACAAAAGTGGTTGGCTCCGTCTCAGCAAATCTTTGGTCCTTCGACCCTCTCCCCCCCACCAATGTATGTGACGTTAGATCTTTCGTCAATAGTTTTGCAATTGCGAGTGTAACTTGTGTGCCCAACACAAGGTACTCCACTTGTAAACTTCTTCTCAGCACCAATTATTTGTAGCAATTGGATGCAACCTCGAAACCGGATCCTCGCTAGAGAAGTTGACCCCATACCCACACAAATCGGTCGCTGGCTTGCAAGAGGTGGCCCTGAATATAAGCGTAATCGATTCCATTCTTCATTTTTTACAGACAGTAGTCATAGCAACTAAACAAATAATGAATTAAAGTACTTAGTTGTAGCCGAAGTCACTAGAAGTGATCCAGCATAAAACAACTAAGAAACGACACATACAACAGATCAATAATAAATCTCAAGCAAATCTTTTGATCCTCAGGATCCCTTAATCACCATCCTAGGGTGTACTTAAGTTCATAATATGATGGAAATCAACAATAGCAAAACACTAGTAACCGATGACATTCCCATAACTGCTCCCAACCCTTCGTACGTCACAACCAAAGACGCTCTTGAGACAGCTCCTGAATCGGCACTTGCTTGTAGCGACGACAATACAGTACCACTAGCAGCTCCAACAGAAGATGAGCCCTCTTTAGAGGGAACAGGCGTGGGAAATGCTTCAGTTGTATCAATAGTGACATCAAGAGAGTTCAACCCACCAGCATTTGAATATGAGTTACTCTTGGTCGACAGTACCATTGCGTCTGTAATTCGGGCTCCACTAGTTCCAGCAGCAGAAGCAGTAAAAGCAGCAGTACGCTCTTCTGTATCAAATGTGACCGTGGCAACGTGACCTGTAAAGTCTCCAGGTACGTGCGAAGATATTCCGGCTCCCAAACTCTGGGGCGAAATTGAATTCCTCGCCGAATTTGTCGATTCAAGGTCAGCGCCGGCGTCCGTTCCACCTGCAGTACCACTGTTTGCCCCACCGTTTGCTGCTCCACTTGTAGCACCAGGGCTAGTTTGAAAAATTTCAGGGGAGTTCGTGGTTTCTGAGTCATCACCAATGTATGCAACACTCGAGTTAGACCATCTACCACTATACGTAACTTCAGCTGCGACCCCAAAAGTTGTAATGGTGCTTAGCGAGTCTCCATGGTGTAAGACGATACCCAGTTCTGTTTCAACCGAGCCGTCTGGTTCAGTGGCTGTCCAAGTGGTAGGGTATTGTGATGCCTCTGGTCCTGCAATACTTTCTGGGAAGGTGGAAAATGTCGTCAATGAGTCTTCATTCTGTAGCACAATTCCCAGCTCTGTCACTACCAGTCCGTCTGTATCAGTACTTGTCCATGTGGTTGTATATGCTTCGACATCTGGAAACGTTGCGAATGTAGTTACTAAGTCGTCGATCTGTAACACGAGTCCCAGTTCCGTTTCTACTGTTCCATCTGATTCAGTTGTGGTCCATGTAGTGATATACTCCGAAGCCTCTAATCCTTCTACATTCTGTGGAAAAGTGGTGACTGTGGTGAAAGAGTCTTCATTCTGTAGCACAATTCCCAGCTCCGTCACTACCAGTCCGTCTGTATCAGTACTTGTCCATGTGGTTGTATATGCTTCGACATCTGGAAACGTTGCGAATGTAGTTACTAGGTCGTCGATTTCTACAACGATTCCTTTATCAGTGTCAACTGAACCGTCTGTGTTAGTTGTGGTCCATGTAGTCAAACGCTGGGTATTCTCGGTTATTTCAGCTGTCAATATTGTGGTTGACGTGTACCATGCGCCGTGAGCATCTGTTGATATGATAACGATTCCAGTCTCTGTTGATGTGTGGCCATTATTTTGGGAAGTGATCGTGGTTGTGTATTCAGTAGGTTGTGCGCCAGGAATTTCTGGTAGCGGTTTGCATAGATTACACCGACGAGTTAACACAGCTCGTGGTACTGGCCCATTATACTGAATCGAGCCTAAAACGGTGGATGGAATGCCAGAACCGCTATCAGTGACAAGTTGAAACTTTGTGGCGTCATAACCAGGTCCTATATTGAAATATTGTTGCAAAATACCTGCTCCTTTCAAGGTCAAGATTCCGGAACGTTGATTATAAGTCCACGGGTTACCAAGTACTGAAAAGAGCGGTATTGTAAGCCCAATTTTGTTAGAAACCCCATTCACTTGTCCAAAATTTCGTACGTTGAATGTTTGAGGTGTGGACAATGCTTCTACAATCATAGATGACGCTCCGTCGGCTAGGTAGAATGTTTGTCCGCTTGAAACTGATAAAGCGGCATTTGAGATATATATTGTCGAATCCTGTTGGGCAGTAATGCATCCAGTGCCAGCAATTACGGATGTCTGTTCATATACTTCATTGCGGAAACATATTTGGCCGTTGTTGGTAATGGTTCCCAATGGAGCTCCTAAATGGACGCTTCCTTCACTTCTTTGGTTCTGATGGAAAACTAGTAAACCATTATTTCTCCAATTGGCAGAAGAGATGCGCATGGTGCTGGAAACGACACCTGACGCCCCCAAATACATCTCTCCGTTGTTTTCAAACGATAACCCAACGAGATTGTAGTGTGCAGCTGTCAAGGACGCGACAGCATTGAATGATATTACACCATTGTTGGTGATGGAATTCAACAATCCGAGTAATGTCACTTGTAATGCGATCAATGGTGAAGTACTTGATATGAATAGTCCAGCATTGGGCTGAACTGTTAGACTTGAAACAAATGCAGTAATGGCATTGTTGATGATGGACCAATAAGCACCCGAGTGAACAGTAATGTCGCCAACATTTAAGCTCAATGAGCCTCTATCGACTGTATTCGACGTAATATCCAACCCCAGTACGACTGCAATAAGTGCGCACACAATGAGGTGTATTTTGGTGCAAGTGAACATTGATTTGAAGTGCAACATGTCTGTGGGTGCAAAAGTCAAAAAAGAACTGATTGAAGACATCTTCGTATATACATATATATAAAGGAGCACCCAAAAGGAAGTACCATACCCAGACAACACATGCTTTTACAAAGGTCTCCACAACATTTACTGATTGTGGGTAAAGTTAAATGCTACAAGAATTCCTTGTTACACCATTGTTGTAATCAAAGTATAAATCGAATCGTTGGAGCAACTTAATATGAAAGTTAGTAGGAATGTCGCGAGAAAAACACTTAGAGTTTCAATTCTGAAAAGCTTAAAAGCGATTTACCGCAAGAAACCTTCATACGCCTCAACATGTTGAACATTGCCAAATAAAAGAAAAAAGCAACAGCGTGAGCACGTATACGGAAAAAGGGTTCATTCGAACCTTGTTTTGTAAGAGAGTTAGCATCTTGGGGAGTTTTCAGAAAGCAACGCCGAGTGGTCGCAGAAGCGTACATTTATTATAGTGGTTAAATATATTACGTTCTGAATCGATACAGCCTCCTCCCAACATTACCCCAACGTTGTTGTCCAGAGAGTGTTGAGAGAACCTTGCCTAAGGTTTAAGCTGCACATTCTTAACAAAGCTGTACATGTTTGGCCCCCTATTCGGAATGTATTATTGTTGTTGCATTCTTATCAAGCAATGACCCCCCCCCCCTCCCACCTGTTTCTCTGTTGTATCGAATTTTAGCTTTTTTTTCTGTGTTCATACATTTACTACACATTTACTAATAGCCACCGTGAGGTTTTCCTAAAACAAAGTTTAACATTCTACTCTCTTGTGTACAAGCCAAGCATAGACTCCGTGTCAATTGAAAGTACGAGTACGACTCTACGTGTTTAGATTGATCTTGTGTTGTCGTGTTTTGAAAATTTGTTTAAGAGCCCCGATTTTGAAAACGAAGTTAATGAATAAGCTATGCAAAGAAGTTAGGTAGAAGTGATTAAGCCCTGTTCCAAACTCCCCGTTGAATGCTTCACTCCATCTGTTAGTGGAAAGATTCAAGGGTTCCAGTAGCAATGGATGGAGAAAGAAAAGACATAATTTCTGGCTGGTCGATGAATGGCAAAGTCTACAAGGAATGATGTAATTTCCAAACGCAGGCAAACGTTTGAGAAAATGGAGTGATTAGGCCAACAGTTGCTCGGAGCAGAGACGGAAACCACATCTAGCAAATATCAATTGATTTTAACTCTTACACAAAGCAGTCCATAAGAACTTCCACGCGTTACACTGTAGAATAGAAGCCTTGGAGAAAGAAGTAGCCAAGGCGGAAGAAGAAACGAAACATTGATCGTTTCAATAACTCTATTTATGGCACTATATACTTCTAATAGACCTCTAAAATGTATCTTCCATCTTCTTTCATGTCCTCAACGACTTTGGCAACATCTTTCAAGTCCTCGCCCTTGAGTTTTGCACCATTCGAAACAATATCCTCCAAGCATGCAGTGATATCAGGAACAGGCCAGGTAGGACCACACAAGTAAAATGACCCGTTCTTGTTGACAATAGCATCAGTCAAGTCATTGATAGATTCTCTAATTTTGTCCTGGATGTAAATCTTTTGAGGCTGATCTCTGGAGAATGCAGCACCAATGTGAGTCAACAAACCCGCATCTCTATAAGCCTCCCAAAGTTCACCATAAAGATACTCCTCCTTCTTGTGTCTTGATCCCATGTAAAGATAAATTTCACCAATTTCATGTCCTTGCTGTTGTTGCCAAATCTTCTCTTCAATAAAAGCCTTGAATGGAGCTAAACCGGTACCCAAACCAGACATGACAATTGGCTGTGTTGTCAATGGAGGCAACTTCATTACTGAAGGCTTGACACTGACAACTAATTCATCACCAACTTTCAAGTCGGACAAGTATTTCGAACAGTGACCATATCTCAATCTCCCTTTAGGATCAATCCAATCAACGACAACAACGAGCAAATGTACTGAGTTAGGATGAATCTTTTGTGAAGATGCGATGGAATATTCTCTTCTCTTTAATGGCGCAATAATCTTCACCAAATCAGCAAATTTGGGTCTTGCGGATTTGAACTCTTCCAAAATGTCAAAGTACGAATCAAAGTTCACATCTTGTCTCTTTTTCAACTCCTCGGCTCCTTCTGCACTTGCCAACTTGGTCAAGTGTTCCTTCTCCTTAGGCTCAGATGCAAATTCAGCCAACGCCTCGTAAAATCTCTTTGGTGGCTTACCCAAAAAATCAATCGACTCACTCAAAATCTGTCTTGCTGATCTAATCTCCACCAAACCTGGATCCTCTTTATGGGTGATTTCAACCAAGGAGTCACCATCAACATTGTAGAACTTGAGGAAAGCTTCAACTTGTTCCGAGTTGTTTCTTCCGTGAATTCCCAACGCCTCTCCAATCTCGTACTTCAAGCCGGTTCCAGTGATATCAAATTCAATGTGGAAGATGTTTCTTGAATATTCAACAGGAGTTAGTCTCTTATTTTCCTGAACCTTGACCACAAAGTTCTTCACAGGCAAGTCTGGTCTCAAATCCTTCTTGAGATTGAATGCTTCAGGGAACACTACTTTTTGTGCAATGTGTTTGTGGAAAGTGTTGTGAACTTCTTCCGGTTTCTCAAGCGGTACCCTTGGGTTAGCAAAAACAGATGTCTCGGTGACAAAGAATGGGAGAGGTTCTGCTCGTTTTTCCTCTGATTTTTCAGCATTGCTAGAAGCTTCTTCTTTCTTTTTTTCAGTAGATGCATCTTCCTTCTGTTCTTTCTCATCCAGTTGAGCAGCTTCCTCCTTCAAATCAAGCCACTCGGGCAATACTTCAAGATTGACAATGGCGTTCTTCAAATCGGCTGCCTTGATAAAATTATCCAAGACGGTGGCCAATAACTCAAACGATCCACCATTGGCTTGCAACAACTTGTTTACAATGTAGTCTCCTAACTCTGGTAAAGTTGCTCTCCAAAACGCCAACTGCAACAAAAGTTCCGCGGTCAAACCTTTGGTTCCGTTGTTGGTTTCATCTAAAGCATCAACAATTGTGAAATCAACTGCAACAAGCTTGTTATCATTCAAGGCCAATGATTTTTTAAATTCAAGTGGCAATTTCTCAACATCAATCAGTTGTTTTTGATTAATGAAGATGATAGTGGCTCCAGGTTTAGCCGTTGCTAAGATGTCGTAGCCGTTCAACAAGGACAAATCCTCAATAACGACAACATCTGCCGCATCGATGTTGCTGTATGCTCCAGTGGTTGAAGTAATTTGGGAAAAGAATACACCACCTGACTTTGAGTTGTCGTACTTGTTTCTAATAGCAACATTCTTGGAGTCATCCAAAGACAAGGAAAGTGCCAACTTGTCAACTGTATCAACCACAATACGATCATCTCTGCTCCAAAACAAGTACTGTCCTTCAGGTGAAGTATTGGCAGTAATTATTTGATCCTTTGGTTCGTTGTCGTACGATGGCAAAAAGTCTGCAATTTTCAAACGCGAATCAAACTTGGAGATAGTCTTGGCAATGGTGATTGGAGTCCAGTTGAAATCCAATGGGTGTTTAAACTCCTCAATTGAAAGCGAGTAGTACCTGTTGCCAAAAAACAAAGCAGCACTAATATCGGCCTTTAACTTGTCATTTCCAGAAGTCAAGATAACCAACTTCTCAGCTGCCTCAGGAATAACCAGCAAAAACTTGGCCTGGTTAAATGGAAGTGGAACCCTGACTTGCACCAATCCAACGTCTTCATTGACAATGTTTTTCCATTGCTCATTGACATGAGTTCCGTAAGCAACAAATACAGTCTTGGCATTCTTTCCCCCCAAATACTCAAATTGGGAATATTTTTTCCCAGTAAATTTGTTCAACAATTCAAAAGCTGCATCGATACTGAGATCAGATGATGGAGCAGAATCTAACAAGTTTTGATACAATTGTCCAATCTCTTCAACTGACAAAATGTCTTCAAATCTTTTAAAACTTTTAGCAGCTTCAACACCCTCGTACAAGAAAATCGAAGGCTTACCAGTTGCAAAAGCATAAAAATGGTTTAAAATGGCCAAATGCTGGTTCTCATTACCGGATTCAGTAGGAGTGAAAACAGGGAAGTTTAAATCTCTAGCAGCATTCACAACCCTTCCGTAATTTGAAACCAATGCATCTTCAACAAAGTCAACTGCTGAAACATTCAAAGCCAAAGGCGCCTTTTGCCCCAACAATGAGGATCTCATGTAATCAACACCACTGGCTCCTACAATGGTTGAAACTGGTTGACCATGAGTTCCGTTCCTCTTGAAGTACCCCAAGATTGCATTTGAAGCACCCGACCTAACTTCAAACTTATTGTAAAAGGGAACAATACCAAAAGCGTTTGATTGTTGGTTGTGCAACCAAAGTTGAATATATGAGTCAAGCAAGTTTTCTGCACCAACAGTTTCATAACTAAAAATTTTCGATGCAATAGCGTAAATGGTCTGGTTGATGAGTGTGCCGCTTGATGTGTAAGTTGTTCCTCTAATAAGGTTTGGATCGGTGGTTAATCCAAATGGGTTAGCAGTGATTAATTTTGAAACACTCGACCCTCCAAAACTGACTTCACTGGTAGTAGTACCATTTGGACCCTTTGGAGCCTCTTCTGAAAGCACGTGTGGAACCATATCGTCAGTATCGATTAATGGTAATGTTTGTATGGGTGTTGATGATGGTAAAAAAAAAAGAAAAAAAAAAAAAATAGAAAAAGTCTTTACAATCTATAGAAATTTTCAACCATGTCACGTGTAAATAGCTAATTTGATTAGATTGATTGACATGAGTGAGTGAAAATTTCTTTTTATCTTTTGCGTCAATATTGATAATGTGGGGCGGAACAGCGAAAAAAAAAAAAAGCCGTTTTTTAACCGCGGTAGATAAGAGACAAAACTACGCTATCCTCTTTCAAGAAGACTAATGTTCCATCTCCAATCTTGTATCAGCTAGCCTTGCGTAGTGGTAGGTAACTCATCTCTCTACGAAGGTGTGTAAAGCGGTTAAGCTGTGTACATTAAAGAGCTATGGCGCATGGTAGGGTTTTTGTAGGGTACTACTGTTTTATTTTTTTGCAACAAAATCGCACCAATAGTGATGCAGAATACTCAGTCAGAGATGACAGGATTTCCTTCAAAGGATACTTATGGTTTTGTACAAACTCAGTGCATTCGACTTCATGCTGTGGCAGAAGTTAAGTGCTTATGTGGCAAGGTTACTGGCCACCTCCTATCAATCTTCAACAGGTGCCAATCCCTTACATTGTGTCCGTGGACAGCTGGTTTTGATTAATGCCGGAATTCTATACGCTTAAAAAAAATTGATACAGCTCAAGAGACACGCTTCAAGTACTATTCTGAAGCAAACAGTTGAGACGAAGGTGGCTACCTATTGAAGAAAAATCAATCACACTAGCAAAAGACGATATGGTTCACTACGTCACGTGACCAAGCTCACGTGACCTCAATCAAACTGGGAATAAAGCAGAGTAGAATTCTACGAGACTTATTTCGAAACACGGATTTGCCCGCATGTGTAAGGCACAAATGTCTTTGAAGTTATATTCTTATTAACACACTCAAGCTCATTTCCTCTTCTTGTTATTTCCAGCTTGCAATCCACCACCTCCAGCGCTGGATTTTCTTTTCTTTTTTGGATCTTCTGTGATAGTTTTCGGGGACGGGGTCTCACTCTGTGGCATGTAGCTATCTGTCATCTTCAGCTGTTGCCCCTCCTGTTTCACACTTTTTGGTGGTTGTTGCAAGTGCATTGATTCTTGTTGAGTTGTTCTCGGTGCGGCTGCTGCTTCTCTCATGGGGTTTTGAAATTGCATGGGTTGACGTTGGGGCGGTACACCGAATCCGTTGGGGAATGGCCCACGAGCAAGTCGAAAATTTGTTGGAACAGCGGCTTGAGGAGTGCTCAAAAGAAGCTCTAGCGCTCGTTGAGGAGCTTTGATATTATTCAATTGACTAAAATCTATCAATTGCTTCATGTGGGTCAAGACATCAATGAGTTGCAAATTCCTCGTGTTGGTTTTGCCTAGTCCAAATGTGGACATATTTTGCACCGTTTTGAGATTGTTGTAAATGTCATTTGCTGGCTTGCTCCTTTGTGGCAGTTTAGTCAAGATGTTCAAATTGATCAAGCTTTCATAACCAAGACAATTTACATCTATCCATTCAATCCTCAAGTCCCTGCTCATTAGTATTTTGACATTTCCATTTAGTTTGGTAGTGGAGTCGTCGTCATAGGTCAAGTTGATCTCAAGTTTTGAGACAATTATTATTGATCCATTGTTCAAAACTTGAAACTTCATTCCGGGTAGAAAAACTGAGAATCTTGTAAATTCGGAATGCGCGGCACAGTTGGCAAAGAACCGGGGTGCTGTAGTTGTATTCAATTCAAAATGGTTTGCCGCGTTTGTATCGTTGATACCTTTATTCACCGACTTTAAAAAGTTGAAATTTAGTCCGGTAACTTCGCTCAAAGACTTGTCTGATTGACTGGTTATAAATTTGGCAAAACTCAATCTTATTGTCGAGTTAGGCAAGAAATAAACAGGGGTGATTCTTTGCCAAAATTCAACACTCCGTAGATTGTCATGTGCCTCATTACTCAAAAAATCAATCAAGTCCAACACTCTCATAGTTGCTGCGTTTCCCAAATTTCTTTTAATTATGCGAGTATTGAACTCTTGTTGCATTTGATCAGCTGGTGTCATCATTTGCTGGTGCTGGTGCTGGTGTTGCTGCGACTGGCCAAGTGGGACTGGTCTTCTCGGTACAAATGCTGAGGATTCATTCGGCATGTTGAACTGTGGTTGCATGGAATTTTGTGGTCCTGCTTGTCGATAAGGTATTCCACCAGAAGGCTGCTTTGCTCCCTCTACTTGGATTCCTTGTCTACTCGGCCCACCTTGAGGGACCCGTGTTAGAGGCTCTTGACCATTATTCACGCCGATAACTGGGGACAGAGTGCTTCCCATAGCTGGAGTTTGTCCTTGAGAGTTATGACCGGAACTTGTTTGAGCACTTGCTTGATGCGACATTGTTCGTGATGGAGGGCCAGGTCTTCCCTTGACTGCATTGCCATTTGGTTGCAGACTTTGCGCGGGAATTGTTTGTGAGCTAGCTGTGCTTCCATTGAAGTTTGAATTTCGATGCAATCCTGGCCGCTGGGTATCTTGTACATTGTCGTTGCCAGATGGAAGAGTGGGGTTTCCATTTGCTTGTCTCATAAATGGTTGTCTCAGCTGTGGAACTCCATTGGAATTTCCTTGTAGATGCAAAGAATCGTTCATTTGTTCTTGTAAGGTTTTCTGCTGTTGTTGGTGTCTTTGGTGGTGTCTTTGGTGTTGTTGTTGTTGTTGTTGTGGATGAGCTTGTTTACTGAGTCCGTTGGCTGCAGATGAGTTAGGTTGTGGAAACTGGTTATGTGGGGTTTGGGCAAACGTACGCAGTTGGTGCAGCTGAGAATGAGCGTTCATAAAATGAGTGGTACGTAAATTGAAAGTTCCCTAGTTACGTTTCTTTTATCTCTTTATGTCAAAAAGTTATTTAAAAGAGATTTTGGTACACAAGATTTCATTGAAAAAAATGACTTTTTCTTTTGTTCTGTCTCTCCCCTTTTGACATTAAATTTTTATTTTCTTTTCTTCAATTTTTATTTTTCCCTTGGCTTTCTGTTTGTTCTCCAGTTTGTCTCAGTATGCAACAGGGTCGCAAAAGAGGGGTTTACCATGCTTTGATGTATCGATCAAAGGCTACACCGCTGCACCAGCTAATTCATGTTGGATCATTGATACTCAAATAAAAAGAACTAGATAACTACTTATAAGCAAGTACTGCATTGCCGTTTAAAGAGGTTGTATTGTTCACATATCGCACTAGAGCGGGATGGTTCAACGTTGCCCGTCTTTCCTTATAGTATGACTTTGAATCCTCATCAACCCCAACGGACCCTTCCTTATCTTCACTTATTGTTTCTCTTGACTTTGTTGCTCTTCTCTTCAAAAGCTTATTCAATGTGTCCCGCTTCTCCTCCTCCAAGATCTTATTCTTGTAATCCTGTCTCTTTCGAGCATTCTCTGCTTTCCTCAATGCAGCCTCTTCCTCAGTTTCCTCTTTAACCTTCTTCACTTTGGGTTTCTTCCCATTCGCATCTAGTTCATAATACGGATCTTCAATCGTTGCACCCGAGACGTCAAGATTGAGTCGTGCTCTCTGTCTTTCCGTCATCTTGGAGACATCATTGACTGCATTTGGATCGTATTCTTCCTCTTCGTCTGTTAGTATTAAGTCGGGATCTAAATCGGGTTGTCGCAGTTTTCGTGGTGGCACCACCGATTTGATCTTTACTGCCTTGGTCGTTTTTTGCGGTGGTTCCTCTACCTCCGATAAATCAGAAAAGTTGTCTTCATCCTCTTGGTAGTAATTAACTTGTCTTTTCCGCGTACTTCTAGAGCTGCCTAATCTCGATGACGTAGAATCACTCAGTGACCTTCCCTTGTTCTTTGTCGGTGGCTTGATTTTGATCTTGATTGATTTTTTACCCTTTTCGACAGCTATTGGCTTCAATGGCTCTTCAGACTCATCATATTCGTCAAAATCTTTTGCTTCCAAGTCGTCATTCATATCCGAAAGTTCGTTTTCAAAGTTGGTGTCCAGTTGATAATCCTCTCCATCGTCGCTTAAGCTTCCCAGTTCGTCGTCCACATCTCCTTCTTCTTCTTCTTCTTCATCTTCATCATCATCATCCTCGTCTTCATCCTCCAGTGGTTCCTCTTGCGATTTCGGGGTCACCTTTTTCCGTCTACTCTGAGAAGCAGCTTTTCGCGTGACTTCGTGTGGTTTGTAGTCCTCCACATCATCATATGCATCTATGTCTCCATTGTCATTTGAATCCGACTCGAGTAGTGAATCTTCTTCTTCTTCTTCTTCTTCGCTGCTTACAACGATCTTTGCTTTTGCCATTGGTGATGGTTTACTATGGTTTGGTGTTGAGCGAGTTTTCAAAACTCTCTACGATTTGTCTACTTTCTTTTTTTTTTTTTATGTGTCAGTTCAACACTACGTACAATGTGTGGGATATTTTACAACAAGATGGTGATGACTACACTATCAATATTCAAGAAAAAAAAAAGAATTGTACCTGGGTAAGCTTTCTTTAAACCTGTCCACTCATATACAACCCTTTAATACTTCTAATTTCATTCTTTGTATCAACAACAATATTCCTTTTTCTAGCCTTTCCTCCACTGGGCCCAGCTTCTAGCCCAGTATCCAAAGTGAAAAACTCTTGATCATCAAAATACACCAAGTCTGATTTATTCTGTAAATCCTTGATGGCAAAATTGACTCCTTTGTAGTTTGTGAAATCCTCCATTGACCAATGCTTGACATAAGTATTGAGCAACGATGACATCTTCACCATCTTCTGATATAGTTCACCTTGAGACAATCTATCTTCAATATCAGGTCCTGTCTCTGGCTGTGAGTCAGTTTGAATTATTGCATCAGCATGTAATTTCCCATTTCTTCTAATTGCAACGATGGGGATATAGCTCACTCTTGTAATCATTTTCAAGTAAATGTTTCTCAAGTTCAGTCTCATACATTCAAGAAACTCCAATCTTCGACTATTAGATGTCTCCAATAATGGTTTGACTATGAGAAATCCCACCAAGTAGGATACTATCAATGCAAGAGACCCACCATTGGCTAATTTGACGAGGTATGCTAAAAGTCCCGATTTTGACCTTGTGTTTCTCAAGGTATAGCCAGATGGATCAAAGGCAGACTCGGGTATTGTAAGCTTGGGCACATAAGACATGCTTGTTTGACAAAGTTCTGCTGGGCGGAAAGAAAGTCCACGGGTGATTCGAAACCTGTCTGTGGGGCGAATAAAGATTTTTGTCCATGAGTCGTGGTCAACAACGCTACCAGAAAAGCCTCAGCATTATCAAGTGATTCATTGTGTAGGCAATTAACTACAGTTTCAATACCATTTATGCCAAAGCTTCACCCTATATACGTAGTCTAAAACTGGCTTTGGATTCTATTATAATGTTTGTTCAAGTCCTCATCTCCATTCGCATTGCTATCGTTTTCAAACTTGTTCTTTCTTTGGAATCTCTTCCCCCGTTTATGCGAATCACTGCCTCCATCCTCTCTTTTTAACATCTGTTTGTTCTCTAGTTTCTGTAAAAGCTTTCTTTCCTTCCTTTGAGTTATCCTCTCCTCGTCAATGTCATTCGGAACCCATTTGCTCCTCAATATACGCCGCACAGCTTCTGGGGATATATGGAAAAACTGGGCCAAGTCTACTGTTCTATACTGAGGGAAAGTTTCCTTGAGCTCTTTGACTTTTATCATCTCTTGCCTGCTTAGTCTCCGTTTAGGATTCCATCGGTCGTACTTGGACTTTTGCGTTAGTTCTCGTTTAACCCATGGTGGAATCGTACGCCTTGGTGGGGGATCGACTTGTCTTGACTGATCTGCCAATTTCATTTCCTCTAGTAACGTCTTTGGCTCATGGTTTTTGACGCGTTTGGGAGACTGTAGACTTTGAGTGTTGGGGTGGGTTGCAGTTGATTTCAAAAGTGGATCAATATTGGATTTAAATCTGCATTGGAGAAGATAATATCTGAATAGAACTGGTTTCAACGAAGCAAATGAAGCGTATGCGGTGCAGTGGTGTTTAAAAGAGCGACCTAGTGGTATCATTAATGATTGCTTTCAAGGATAATACGACGTTGTTGTAACCAGATGGAAGGATTTTTTTGCATACTGATGAGGGGATACTGCGTACAAAAAAATTCTTTTGACAAAGGGGAAATTATCAAAAGACACGGTTTCCTTTCTTTTCTCAAGAATCCAAAGACTTTCGAAGTTGAGCATCACCCCCCCCCACAACACAACATCTATAGACATTCAACGAAAACGATGATACTGGATGATCAATTGAATACTATAGCGTTGTCCTTTGGATTTGCTTCTATAATTTTGATTTTGGTATATCATGCTATCTCAACGAACATCAACAATCTTCAGCAGAAAAAGGTCACTACAAACTAGTACCTAGTTATTTAGGGGAACAGGAGAACGGAGCTTATCATTAAATGAAACAAAGAGGAGGAATTTGTTGTATAACGAGTTTGATACTTGTATAGAGGAAGTCAATATACCAATTTTGATGGCATTATATGATCCTTTGTAGAGCGACGTGTTTTCTTTTTTTGATAGTGCCAAATCTTTAGTACAGACGTAACTAATAACTTTTCAACTAGGGCAGCCACAGATAATGCGAGAAGCTGGTTTCTAGAGTTGGTGCATAACAAAAACTGTGTACTCATAATGGGTAAAGTACTCTTCCGTCGCATTTATAAGTCACGGAAATAAGACTTGCGACATCGACATGTTTAGTGCACAAATCACACGTGACAAGGGAAGCAGAGCCGTTGTACAAAGCAAAAGATGCATCAAACCAGTGATACATCGCCAGATGAGAGATTGCGTATGAGATTAGTGTATATCGGTAGGGCAAATAGTTGGAACACGTGCGAGAGAGAAAAGACAGACCAAATGGGAATTTGACAACTTAAAAGGCGGGAGAGCGAGACAAATAATATAACTCACTCAACGGGTAAAAAACAAAAATTTTAAAGGAGAGAAAAGGGGAGAAGAAAGAGAGAAGAAAGAGAGAAGAAAGAGAGAGAGAGAGAGAGAGAAAAAAAGAGGAAAAGAGGAAAAGAGGAAAAGAGGAAAAGAAAAGGACAGAGAGAAATATATATTGATTTGATTTGATTTGGTTCACTTGAAATTTAACCGTTAACAGTATATCATATAACCGCCACCACCAGGGAAAATACACCACCTACAGCACCACTTTTACAGTATTGTCTTACCCCCCAATAGCAAGCTACCTATGAACTTTCCATCAGGCCGCTAACAATCTCTCTCCAATATTCACCTTTGTCATCGCTTTCGCTTCATTATTTACAATTTTTTTTTTCCTTTCTTTTTTTGACTGATCAAAATTCAGTCATACGGCCCCAAAGTTATTCCCCACCACACTGCTGTTCACCTTAACAGCGCTGGACCCTTTATATCACATATTCATAAGTTGGATAGAAACATAGTTGCATCTATACTGGGTACATAATACATTTGTTTGACACTATATTAGACTATCCTCAAACAATAACGCTATCAACCCCAGAGATGATCAACACAGAGACAGGGATTCAAAACTCTGATGTCAGCAACAACGACCCAGCCAACACCACCGCTAAGGATGTATCCATGGTTGACGTGAGTAAAGTCAATACGGGTGAAAACAAACCTACAACTGATGACACTAGTAATACTGCACATCCACCAATTAGAAGAAAATCAACAATGATTTTAACTGATGAGGCAGAGGCCGAATTCGACCGGATGAATATTGACAGGAAAGAAGCAGATCAGAGTGGTAGTGGTGGTGAAATACAAGATGAAGATAAAATGCACATTGACAATTCGTCCTCAAACTTGCATGGTAGTCAACAGAATCGACCACCACAACCATCATCGCAGCAGCAGCAGCAACAACAACAACAACAACAACAACAACAACAACAACAACAACAGCAACAGCAACAGCAACAGCAACAACAACAACAAGAACATCAAGCTGCTCCTTCAGCACCACAACCAGAAAAGACAGTCACAGTGCCAGTAGATATCCAATGGGTGCAAGGTGGTGATAAGGTCTACGTTACTGGTTCATTCACTGGATGGAGGAAAATGATTGGATTAGTTAAACAACCAGATGACAATTATATGATAACATTGGGTCTACCAGTGGGTACACATAGATTTAGATTTGTTGTTGACAATGAATTGAGATTTTCGGATTTTTTACCCACAGCTACTGATCAAATGGGTAATTTTGTCAATTATGTTGAAATTACCCCTGAAAATGTCCAACAACACTTGAATGAACAATATGGAATACAAGAGGATCAACAACAGGAACCTGGTCCAGGACCAGCTCAA